TAATTACGATTTCCTCATTTATTTTTCTGACATTTGGCACACGGTAAACTGGTTTATCATTTGTCGGACATCCAACGGCTTTTTATGACAATTTTCTGATTCTGAACGTTGGTCATCTGAACGCTCCATATATTGGAAATATCCGAGTTCATGGCAAGATTTGTACCTTTTAGAGTTCATCACTTTCTTTTTTAATTTCACATTAATGCTGAAGTCTCATCAATGAAAAGAAGAGTTATTTGCAAACAATAACAAAATTTATAAAGATGAACCGTCAAAGAAAATGAAACATTAATCAAATTCAGAATTCACCTGTAGGACTGACACATTCCTCTTAAATATGAAAATTTCTTTTTCTTTTAATCAAATGAAACCAAAAATAATTAAATAAATCTTTTATCAAAAATAAATCCACACAAAGTGAGTCAACTAGGTTCATTATGTGCCTGTTCCAAGCCAGGAGACTGTAGTTCTGTGGTTGTCGTTGGTTCATGTCATATTTGTTTTTTGTAAATTGTTTTGTTATAAATTAGGCCGTTAGTTTTCTCAATCGAGTTTCATAATTTTCATGTCGGGGTGTTTTATAACCGACTATACGATATGGATTTTTCTCATTGTTGAAGGCCGTACGGTTGCTATAAATGCTACATCCACTTCATATTAAATTTGATGGATAGTTTTCTCATTTGCAATCATACCACATCTCCTTTCTTTTACATAGGTGTATTTTAACTGAATTATGTTGTTAAATGATACAATATCATCTCAAAAATTATATTGTCATTTTCTATTGTAATTAGTGAATATAGTAATTAGACAGCATCTATTGAACTATAGAAGAGACGGTAGATACAAAGAGGACATTCAAGATTCAAAAGTCGAAGGAAAACTGATCACAACACCATAGCAAAAAAATATAAACGACGAAAAGACGAACAAGTCTACAAAACACAGCATAGAAAATCAAAGACTGATATATACGAATCCTGTCAAAACCCTGTTGTGAACTAATTTGCATAACATATGACAATCATCGTTCTGTTTATGCCAGTTCAAATCAAGAGGAAATTCTTCATTCGATGATTTTACAATAGCGCGAAAGAGGACGATATTGTGCCAGGTTATCTATGATTCTTTAACGGCCAAGTGTATCAAGTAAAACAAAAATTCAGCGAACTTGTTTCAGTTTGTTATCCTGCAACCAAAATCGCACATTTAAAATTAATGGCGTACTGTCAATTGAGATAACCAAAGCTACTATCTTGGTAAAAACATCTTCACCCTCTTTAATACCAACCTATGAAGCTAATTGTAGCTTGTCGAATAAATCATACTTATGGTGAAGAGATACCTAAATATTCCGCTTCTTGGATTTGATTGCAATTGACATTGTTTCGATATACTTTTTGAGAGAATGTCAATTTTAAAAGATGATCTTTGAATAATATTGAGGCCAAAAAAATTATAGCAGACATATTTGTCTAATCCGTGGCCAAGGAAAGTCACTATTTTCTGCCTCAAGATTTGCTGGAAACTTACTTACGTTATCGATCTGCTGTATTCATGAGCATAACATTGGATAAACACATGTCCAATCAGTCAAATTCGACCGGGATTTCTGCTCAGTGGTATCTTATAATATTCAAAATTCAAGTAACTTGGCGGCGGCTCTTTCTAGTTATTGTCCGTAACTTCAGCTATTTTCAGATTGATCGCGTGACATAACTCTGGGGAGTCAAAAGTGAAACTGGATTAATTAAAAACGGGTCTGTGTTGAGTGTTCTCTGACAACATTTTCAAATTTAGATTGATTGTGTTGAGGTTACGCAAGATATTAAATAATTGTCTGCCCGGAAATCAAACAATTTGCAATGTTCAGCTTTATCAAGGGGCAGTTATTATAAGACAAGGAATAATCTGACAAATTCGCAAACGGTGTGTTTAGTTGTCTTTAACAACATTTTCAAATGATTTGATGGATGCATCGGAAGTAGCATTGTTTGCTATTTTCTTCTTTTTCCAGGGGCACAGGTAAATGTTCCCGTCGTCTCTTGTGGGGCATAATAATAGATCACGAACAGACTTATGGTAGTCGCACTTAAACGTACTCAAGTAATAAATGTAATAATGACATACTTGGTATGTTTCCAAATTATCCATTAAACTAGAGGCTCTCAAGAGCCTGTGTCGCTCACCTGTATTTACTGATGCTTTGGAAATCATGTAAAATAAGGTTAAAATCATAATTAATAGTATTAGATATTATAATGATATCTAAGATAATAAAAAAAAACTGCAAAATATTTGTAAAATTACTAACTCAGGGGCAGCAACCCAACAACGGGTTGTCGGATTCGTCTGAAAATTTCAGGGCAGATAAATCTAAATCTGATGAACATTTTTGCCACCTGTCAGATTTGCTCTAAATGCTTTAGTTTCAGAGATATAAACCAAAAACTGCATTTTACCCCTATGTTCTATTTTTAACCAAGTCGGCCATGATGGTTTGGAAGGCGGGGTCATCGGACAAATTTTTTAAACTAGATACCCTAATAGTGATTATGGCCAAGTATGGTCAAATTTGTCTTAGTAGTTTCAGAGAAGAAGATTTTTGTAAAAGATTACAAAAATTTACAAAAAATTGTTAAAAATTGACTATTAAGGGCAATAACTCCTAAAGGGGTCAACTGACAATTTTGGTCATTACAACTTATTTGTAGATCTTACTTTGCTGAACATTATTGCTGTTTACAGTTTATCGCTATCTATAATAATATTCAAGATAATAACCAAAAACTGCAAAATTTCCTTAAAATTACCAATTCAGGGGCAGCAACCCAACAACAGGTCGTCAGACTTGTCTGAAAATTTCAGGGCAGATAGATCTTGACCTGATAATCAGTTTTACCCTATGTCAGATTTACTCTAAATGCTTTGGTTTCAGAGATATAAGCCAAAATCTACATTTTACCCCTATGTTCTATTTTTAGCCATGGCGGCCATCTTGGTTGTTTGGCGGGGTCATCGGACACAAATTTAAAACTAGATACCCTAATGATGATTGTGGCCATGTTTGGTTAAATTTGGCCCAGTGGTTTCAGAGAAGAAGATTTTTGTAAAAAGCTAACGACGACGGACGACGACGACGACGACGACGACGCCGACGCCGACGACGACGACGACGACGGACGACGGACGCCAAGTGATGAGAAAAGCTCACTTGGCCCTTCGGGCCAGGTGAGCTAAAAATGCTATCAAAAAGAAAATCATTGGTTTCCGAAAAAAAAAAACCAACACCTGAGTATGTCTCACATTCAATGTATCTTTTAACACTGTAAGATGTTTTTATCTTCATTTTCTATCCAAACATGCAACCATCTTCATATTTTACCTAAGAATGCAAGTTTACGCGCGCTAGAACTTTTCCAATCAATTTCATGTTGTAGTGTTTGCCATACAGGTGGTCTCATTACGGTCCTTAGCTTAATATTCTAGTCATATCTACCTTCTATTATATGATCTGGTAAATGTATGAATCCAAGATGTTTTGTGTCTTTCTCATTGATGATTTTCCCCTTGCCTTAATGGCATACGATACAGTCGCAAGGGCGTATAACACATTTAAATTTAACGTGTTGTTTTTCGCAACGTTGCTACTGATGACCATTCAAACTTCGCGGAAAATTCACTTACGTCATCAAATCGTATACGTGAATTTGAAAGTATTTGTAAAGGCACTTGATGTATATTAAAGCACTCGAAATCTGCTACAGGGGCATACAATTCAAGGCAAATGAAGACTGAGTACTGTTCTTACATTAATAAATTAGTATACTCTATGGTCGGGTTGTTGTCTCTTTGACACATTCCCCATTTCCATTCTCAATGTTATGACTGTTATTTGTATAGTGGTTTTGTTACCGGTGGGAATAGCTGCACGACGATGTTGCATTGCGACAGCGCAAAATAAAAAAAAAGATAAAAAATGGGATATCCAGCATTATAAGTATAGGTTTCAAATCTTGAAGCTAAAATATGAGCACATGAATCTCATTTATTCTATTAAAGAAAACGTCAACAATAATTTTTAGTCTACATACATTTCTATTTTCAAATAAATGTCTACGGCTTTTAATTTCCAATAATTGAATTATTTTACAAATGTTTGATCACTTAATCATAAAGACCTTCTTACACATCTATATATATATATGTAAGGAACACTTTACAAAAAACGGGTGAAAATTTCTATTTCGTTTCAAAGTTGTGTTATTTTTTCCGGAAAAGTAATCAAAAATGAAATTTTGAGTTTTTAACTTAATTAAATATCTCAAAAATTAAGTCACGGAGGAATATTTTTCTTTGCATATTTCGATTGTGCATATCAAAATTGACTTTAGAGTCAAAATTTTAAGGAAACATCAACGAGGAATTTATTCTTTATCGTATGACCTTAACTGTTAAGATGAAGATAAAATATGTTTGTGTTTACATTAATCGTCAGGTAATAGGGTGCTCTGTTCACGGAGGGATCTTTGTCTTACATACATCCCGCTGCAAATGTTTGCACCTGTCCTAAGACAGGAATCTGATGTACAGTAGTTGTCTGTTTATGGTAGTTCATACGTGTTTCTCGTTTCTCGTTTTTATATAGATTAGACCGTTGGTTTTCCCGTTTGAATGGTTTTACACTAGTAATTTTTGGGGCCCTTTATATCTTGCTGTTCGGTGTGAGCCAATGCTCCATGTTGAAGGTCGTACCTTGACCTGTAATGATTTACTTTTATAAATTGTTACTTGGATGGAGAGTTGTCTCATTGGTACTCATACCACATCTTCCTATATCTAATAACAAATTATTTTCATCAGATTAAGTTCCCTGATATATATGTTCCTTTCCTCGAGACTGCGTGTTGCTCTGCTCCTTTCTACCTTCATGTATACAAAACCATCAATATATGAAAGAATTAATCTTTTAAAAAAGTTGTTAAAAGTAGAGGTATGCTTCCATCACGTTTAATATTTTAAGAAAAAAAAACCGATGGTGATATTCTTTAACTGATTAAAATATAATGAATTTGACATAATGCTGATAGTTTAATTGTTGGTCTTTTTTTTATTAACAAGTTAAATATTGCTCCCACGACAAAACTTTCACAAACATTTAAATTATCGCTCTATTGCAAGTGGTGACAGTATTGGGTGGTAGTGAGATTGACCTTCCTGTCTTAATGCATTCAGAAGACTACTTGATTGCTGTGTATTTGCATTATGTTGACGACCTGTATGCCTGTGAACACTAAAACTTGATGATCTTGGTCCAACTTCTATAGATTCCAAACTATCACTTAGTCGATTAATTCGATGTAAACCATTAGAACTGTGATAATATTTCCCTGCACAATGTAAATTGTCGATGTTTCCACTTTGAAGACTTGTTCTGCTTCCCTAAACGACGGACATTGATATTGGATCAAAAACGGTAGGCATCTCTTCGTTTATTGAATCGATTTCTTCAATATTCATTTCTATGTTATTTTCATTTTGTTTATTTAGTTTTGAAGGGTTGAGATCAGTTTTCAGAGGATAAATCATTATTAAGGCACTTGCTATCATCATAGATCCGGCAAGGATGAAGGAAGTGTCATATGTTTTCTGGTGTTCATATAAAATACCTGCAACAATAAATTCATGAAAGATTGAAACAAAAACAAAAGTAATATGTTTTAAGCTTGCTTCTACTACTAGTTGCATTCTTCAATACGGTATTGTAAACAATTCGGAAAAAGCATATTTATGTGAGTGTTATTTATATTCTGGTGCTCCTGTAGCTGCAAGTGCATCAGAGGGAAAGCTGGTCCTGCTTTACTAGTTGCACCCGTTGTTTTTCTCGGTATTGTAAACAATTCGGAAAAAGCATATTTATGTGAGTGTTATTTATATTTTACAGTGTTGTTTGAATATTTGTTTTTATTTCTGTATTTCTGCTATGTTAACTTCAAAGGTTGTCATTTTCACTTCTACTATTAAAGTTCTTGTGTTCATGTATATGAAGAGTTAGCCTAAGCTTCTAAACTGTTTAACGACGCGTCATTTATGCCTACATGGTTTATGCAATTAAATTTTTTGTAATGTGTGCTTCGTCAACAGTAGGAGGCGAAACGTTTACTTCGATACACAAACAACACGTTTTTCTCAAATTAATTAAGTGTATTTAGAAACAACACTAACCTGCTACAGGAGCACCAGTTAACTGTCCAACTGCTAAAACGAAAAGCACAATTCCATATGTAACACCAAATGTTTCTACGCCAGACATTTCAATGATTATAGCTGGGAGAAGGGAGCCTCCACATGCTGCATAACTCATTCCAAATATCGCACTGTAAAAGTATACACCGTAACGGGAATGTATAGTCAAACATATTGTTGCTATTCCACCTAATGCATAGAAGAAAATATATTGATAAATGGGTCTAAATATTTTTACATGGCTCATATTTGCAAAAACACCATGTAGAAGTTTGAAAACAAGAACCATAACACCGGAAATTGTATATAAAATAGCAGAATTTGGCTTAGTAAATCCTTTCTGATAAACAGCATAAGCTTGCAGGTGACCTAGGATAATCGATGCGCCAAACTGATACATAAAATTATTGATCATAAGGATGTAAAATGATGGAATTTTCAGATAAAAATGTTTGTCGAGAAATCCAACTTGTTCGAAGTTTTCACTTTCTTCATTTAATTGTACTGTCTCGAGATTCTTGCTAACACTGCTCGATTGTAACTTGTTATTTTCTGATTTGTCCGAAGAATATCCACTCTCTTGTGACTTTTGTTCTGAGCTGACCTCTTTTGTCAAAGGGCGGATTAATGATCCAAATACACATATATTGAGAGTTATTCCACCAAGAATCAAAAACATACCACGCCATGTATAATATTCATTTAACATTTCAATAATCGGTGGGAATGCAAAAATACCTATTCCGCCACCTGCAGATGATATCGCCATTGCCAGTGGTCGATGGTTTATGAAGTATTTAGCCACTGCTACACTTCCTGGCATAAACGCTATTCCGCATCCTATGCCTGTAAACATATTTTAATAGCTATAACAAATACATTAGATCCAGTGTACATGAAATTAATTAGTAAAGAGCCCCCAGTTACTGTTTAATTATATGTTTAAGTGCATCAGGCAAACACTATCTGTTTCAATAAGCACATTATTCATAGTTTACAAGGTAAAGCATCATGAAACAACAAATAATGATAATTTATAAATCGCAAGAAAATATAACAACGTAGATACAACCAGACTTCAATGAATATTATCTATCTTTTGACACAGAAAAATGCTATAAATGCTTGTCCTTAAAATAAAAAAAAAAATGATATAAGTTTTATAAAATAGCATTTTGCAAAATATTTACGTTAATGCTTAAATCTGTTTTAATAGTGTTTCGGACCAAGCAATTTATATATACCTTACTGCGCTGCTAACCAGTAAATGTAATATGTACAAGAAAAAGCCAGAAAAAAATTGAATTAGTTTGCAAAATCTCATCAAGGATACCAGTTATTATTAAGTACGTCAGTGATTGCTTTAGTGATTTTTTTCTACACTTCTGGTGTCCAAAATATATTTTTACCTGAAATTATGCCGTAAGTCAGAATGAGAGCGGGAACGGAACTGACAAAAGCAGATGACGTCATGCCAATAGCTGCAATCAGACTTCCAGCAATGGCAACCTTTCGTTCGTCGTATCTTTCAATCAGATATCCAGATAATGGACCTGAAAGGAAACATACTAACATAGGATTCTGTTAGGCATACATATTTAAGAGAACATCTTCGTCTTGCCATTTTGTAGGAATGTAACCATCATTAATGATCCGATCAGATCTCTGGTATCTCTTTCTTCTGTCGCTTTCAACTATACAATCGACAGTCTTACAAAAGATTAAGTAATAATTACTATCGAAAACTTTATAAAGTTAGGTTTCGCGTATTCAAAAGTGAACTGCAGGCGATGATTTGCTGAAAGTGGAAAACTAAAATTCATTATTTAACATATTGTAAAGCAGAAAATGATTGTTTTAAAATATTTGATGGCAAGAGAATTCCAAAAAAAAAACCCCCAAACTTAAACACTTTAGTTTTCATAGTGGTTGTACCTCTATTGTATAATGCTGATAAAGGTATCCTTGATGATATGCTTTATTTTAAATTTAAAACCAAATGAACCTGTCACATTTCATGAAGTCTTATTCAATTCCTGATTTTTAATGTTAAACTAAGAAACAAAATACAAAAAATACCATACCAAAGATGAAATTAAAAAGAAACCTTCTTATAATAGTATTCAAAGTACAGACAACATCATGTCTAAAGGAAAACAGTTAAAAATACACTACATAGCAAAATTAAAATGAAACAAAACAAACCCCACCAGAAAAAAAACTAGAAAATGGAGTGGACTGGCCTCAGCTGCAAGTGCATCAGAGGGAAAGCTGGTCCTGCTTTACTAGTTGCACCCGTCGTTTTTCTCATAACAAGTAAAAAGAGATAATTCGGTTGTGATTTTCTGAACTGGAATTTGGATACAAAAAAGGAGAACATATAGAAATAAGAAGATGTGGTATGAGTGCCAATGAGACAACGCTCCATCCAAGTCACAATGTGTAAAAAGTTAACAATTACAGGTCAAAGTACGGCCTTTAACACGGAGCCTTGGCTCACACCGAACAGCAAAGCTATAAAGGGCCCCAAAATGACTAGTGTAAAACTATTCATGGTAATTAGTTAAACTGATATTACGAAATAGTCAACAAATGGAAGGCATGCTGGTGTCCGTAGAACTAAATATTGAATAATCAGTTAACCTTTACCGATTAGAACGCTTTAAATAGCTTCCTTGTAAGCAGCAGTCCTCTAGCTCAGGAGGATATGCCAACTTGGCGATGAATGCTCCATTAAAATGGGAAAATTTAGGTTACCTCCTTTGTCGGTAAGTTATTTTTTAGCTAACCCTCAGTGTCAATTTTTTAACTGTATCTGTGATATCATTTTTTTTTTATGTTCAATTGGAACGCTGTGACGAAACACTTGGTATATAATTGCTACTTTCGTCTTTCGTTTAATTTTAATGAAAGAATATGGATTCCACATATAGTTGGATTTAACCATAAATAGTTAAACAATAATATCAAACCGTGATTAATAATTATGTATAGACGATACGAAATTAATCTTTTTATACCTTAACATGATACTTCACACTGCAAATTATTTAAAGAGATGGAAAATTGAGAATTATTAATAGGAACAAATACCGTGAAAACTCTATCTGTGATGGATATTAAATTACGTCCTAAACAGTTTTAATTATCGTATGGGTATTTGTAGGAATAGACTATTTTGATACGTCTTCGACTAATAATTCCTTTCTAAAATATTCCGACAAACCGTATATTCATTAATAATCAAACAAGTTTTTAATTCATTATTTGACAACAAAAAAATGAATTATCTACCTTTTTTCTGTGAAATGATTGAAAAAGAAGCCTTTATTTAACTCACCTTGTCGAATCTTATACCATCATATTTATCTGTACAACTGAAACAAAATATTGACAGGCAAAGATGAGTTCTGGTTCATCAATTATAGTCAAGCCAAATATTAAATGCAAAATGTCGAAATTTTATATTTCGAAAAAAAAAAATGAAGAAGATACTAGCACTTTATAAATTTGATTCGTCCGAAGCGGTTTTTGGATTTACCTTCATCAGGAACACTCAAAGCCATAAAATTGAAAACCGAGGATGTATTAGACTAGTACCGAAAACGTGAAGACCTTTATGACAAAAAGGGACCTAAAATAGCCAAATCCATCTAAGGTCAAATTTGCCTGAGGGATTTGGATCCTTCGTTTTTAATTATTTCTTTTATAAACGGACTATTTATGAAAGGTATGTTATAAATCATGTCAGTACCGAGGCACTAACTACTGAGCTGATGATACGTAACCTGATATGTCAGTCTACGGTTGTAAGTGCCAGTCTGCCAGCGAATCATCATGTAGTTAAAATTTATTAAAAGATTTACAATTAAAAAGCAATTGAGATTGACACTTAATTCATTTCAGAATCAGTATTAATATACAGAAATAACCAAGTTTTCAATTTGCATCATAACTCAGTAAATATGAAAAAATATTATTTTCATTGTATAAATAGACTATCTGAAATTACTTATGCATCAGTATACATGGTTTTAATTTATGTTTGTTTTGTTCCAAAATTGTTTAAGATTTCCAGAGTCCTAGATAGACTGTCAATGAAAATCCCTCAAAACAAATCGATTGGTGGGAAGGAACGACAAGGAAATTTCTAATACCATCCTTATATGCCCTTTTCTGGTAGTGGTTAATTAAGGTCTTTCCCCTACGTGAGCATACTATGATTTTACGCCTTGCTTTCAAATATACAGGCCTTCGTAAAAAATCTTACGACAAACATAACTTGCAAATCAAGAACAATTCGGTATACTTTCGATCAATTTGAGTCGCAAGAATTCTATGTGAAACGCAGGCCAGGAAATATTGGACAATGTCTTATGATGCAATAATCACAGTTGCGGAAAAAGTTTCCGACTTGAAAAAATTATGCATCATACAGTTTAGTACATTACCTGGTGCAATGTGCACGAGGATAAAAGTTTATGTGAACGGTTACTGCCAGTCACCACTTATAAAAAAGTAGTGCTGCATATACCTACGCGTATAAGTATAACAATACTATAGGTGGCTGCAGGTCACACCAACATTATCTGTTCCATAGCTGCCTGCAAATCACATCACTTTAAAAGATCTGTAACATAGCATTTCATTTGAGTCTGCAGGTCACACTGCTAATTATCTGCACACTTTCATTCATATATATATGTATGGTAGGTGCCTGCAGGACACATAACTATAAATTTGCACCATATATATGAAATGAAGATGTGGTATGATTGCCAATGAGACAACTTTCCACAATAGACCCAGTGAAACCCAAATGACACAGAAATTAACAACTATAGGTCCCCTTATGGTTTTTAACAATGAGCAAAGCCAATACCACATAGTCAGCTATAAAATGCTCCCAAATGACAAATGAAAAACAAGAAAATTAACGGCCTAATTTATATACAAAAAAAAAATGAACGAAAAACACATAAGTAACACAGAAACAAATGACAACCACTGAATTATCGGTTCCTGAATTGGGACAGGCACATACAGAAATAGTTTGAAGACGTCAACCCTCCCTTAACCTGGGAAAGTGGTGTAACAGTACAATATAAGAACAAACTATAAAAATCAGTTGATAAAGGCTTAACTCATCAGAAGGATACAAATAAAAATACATCTAACTAAAACATAAAGTGGACGTGGATAGGTACTTACAAATGCGAATAACAAAGAAAAACCCCACAAAACACTAAGTACAGAACTGAGAACACTCGCAGTTATTATAGGTGCCTGTGGGTCATTTCACTTATGATCTGCACCATAGCCTATCATAGGAACCTGTAGGTCACACTGCTTTTTATCTGTACCATAGCCTATCATAGATGTATGCAGGTCACATCGCTTTTTATCTGTTCCATAGCCCATCAAATGTGTCTGCAGGTCATATCACCATAGATCTGCACTAAAGCCTTTCATAGGAGCCTGAAGGTCACACTGCTTATTTATCTGTACCATAGAATAATTCAATTCTTTTTAACAAAATGTTTAACAACATGTAGGTACATGTATAACTAATATATACTAAATAAAGATTACAAAAATATGCATGCGATCATGACAAAACAGACAAAACAGACAGAAGTATTAAATACACAGTCATTTCTGAGCTTCAGTGCTCTAAATATACATTTTCCTAAGTTGCACAAGTCTTTTACATTAGTAGTGCTTAATAATTGTAAAAGTTTATAAACAGATAGCTTACGCCAATAATATGGTTTTATTAAACATTCACGCAAATTTGAATATCAAGGACATGAGGCATCTATCATTTCATCCTCAATATCATTAATACACAATGTACAGGTTCTAAGGTTTCTAGTAACATTAGAATACCTTCCCTTCTCTATAGCGAGATTATGCAATCTAATTTAACAATACACTTTTTGTAAATTGCGGGTATTGGTTTACATAAATATGTCTGCATAGACAAATTTGATATCATATATCTATACAAAAAAACATTTTGATGAACTATCTAAAATAGCATCAAACTCTTGTTTGAAAATATCAGTCTCTGTTTAATATCCATAATATGATCTTTACATAAAGAATTTTGTGAATACCACAAATCATTAAACCAAGATGGAACAATTCCTTTCGTATAACACAAACCCAGTTTTTTTTTGTCATTTGGATTTTTTAAACACACATCATATATTAAATAATTGTAACAACCAAGTAATATACAATTGTTATTATTCAATACCTTAATCCAATATTTAAATATACGCAATTTCCTGGTTACTAAAATTGGAAATCTGCCAAGTTCACAATAAACCATGACATTCGGTGTACTTGTTTTAACATTCAAAATTCTTTTACAAAAATCATTATATATTTTTTCTACGTTTTGAGCTTTATGGAAGCCCCATATTTAGAACCATAACGTAGAATACTACTCACATATGTATCAAATAATGGCAATAACGTGGCATAATTAAATGAAAATAGTCTAATATTACTAAATAAACAAAACATAGCTTTCCTACCTTGTTCT